GCAACATATTTTAGCTATCATAATCCTTTCCATAACTTTTCCATCTATTATAATCATTTAACATTGTCCACCGACTTAATGCAGTTGTGGATTTTTTATATATATTTTTTTTATTATTTTTAATTGTGGACCATGGGTCTAGTGATTAAAGCAATCAATCGTTTCTGTTCTGACTCTTGAAGGAGGCGGTCACATTTTCCTTCTGCTCCTGCCCCTCCCTGCTCTGTCCCTGCTTTGCTGTGTCTAGTCTTTTCTGAGATCTCTCTTCATACCAGCCAAACTCAAACAATGGATCTAGTCAGCTGTTCTTTTAATGCAATTGTTCAAATTTATTCAACTGGAAGACAGGGAAAAGGGGACCCGTCCTGTCCTGCTGGGACTTACTTCGTGGGATAAACCATGGATTCCTGGAAGGCCTGGATGGATGGTGTGTTTGACAATGTTGTCACTGGAGGATATTGAAGATGTATGGATTTTTGATTTTATGATACTCAGATTTCTCCTGTTTGGATTTGAAGGATACCTGATTTATCTTCAATTAAAGAGGATGTTGGCGGCAATTTGGACATTGATCAGGCGGCCGGAAGCGGTTGACGCCCTCACAAAGGCTGTGAACGAGTAGGACCGGGAGATGACCTGCATGCTGGGTGCGATTGAATGCAGACTGGCTCCGGTGGTTAAACTAAAAGGTGAGATGGGATAACATCTTGGATGGGCACACTCGCTTTTAGGTGGAAAAGCCCAACACATTTCACATTTGGAATATTGGATTTCACCACGAAAAAGCCAGCAAGACATAGACTCAAGGCTGAAGGAAATTCCTGTGCAGCCTGCTCTCAAAACAGTAAGTGCCCCCCCGCCTCCCAACCACCCGCGATCATCTGTGGATGCGCTCAGTGACTGTTGATAAACTTCCATCTTATCCAGGACGTTGCCTGTAGTCAGTGTTCGTGGACAAATTGAATGCCCTCATCATACATTTACAACTAATGTCTCAATATGTCAGATTGACTTCATGTGACTACGCCTCCGATGTGACCCTCTGCTGAAATGTCTGTCTTGTGTTTACACGTGCTTTATTGTGCTGAGGTTTTTGATATCTCAAACTGTATCCTGTCATGGATAAAGTGTGACATATGTTTTTTTCTACCCTCTTCCCCAATGTGGCTCCTATCTTTCCACAGAGACCAAGGCAGCGCTAGGTAATCGCCGAGACCTGTGCAGTCAGGTAACCGGTGGGAACCTGGCAGCTTGGCCCCAGTTAATCCGTCCCCCCCACCCCCTCTCAGCCCCCCACCCTAATGTATGTGATGTATTGTACTGAACGTATTGAACGGTTTGTACTGAGACTGTAATTTCCCTCTGGGATTATTAACGTATGTCTGATTCTGATTCTTAATTCAACAGCTGAGTGCATATCCATGCTTCCATGGCTTCCAGGTTCGATCCAGAGTCTGACCCAGAGTGGGAGAACATGAAGAGGACTTACCCACGAAACCACGCCTCCATAGGAATGTAGCACAATGTAGAGTTCTCCCTGTTCAATTCAATTTAGTTTATTTCTATAGCGCAAATTCACAACACGTCACTCAAGGCACTTTACAGTTCAACCAGATCATCCAGTCAGATTGATTGAAACTGTTCAGAAACAATCCTTCCTATCCTTGAAGTGTTCCAGTGTTGGTTACAGCAGGGGTAACCAATTAAAAACCAGCGGGGTTTGAATAAATAAAATAATCAACCAGTAAAGGTCCAGAGACATTTTTTATTATAATCTGTTACTCTAAACAGAATTTAACGCTGGAATGAAATAAGGTTTTTATGCATCCATGTTATACATTGAATAAAAAAAAGTATTTAAAAAATAAAACATTTGGTATAAACACAATTTCCTGACTAATTTTTTTTCTCAAACCCCTGAACTGATGGTTTGTTATTTTCTTTCTTTTTTCTGTCTTAATGTTGGCAGTGGGCTTTAGGCTGCCCTGCAAGGCTTTAAACCTGGGTTTAACCGGAGACTAAGCCATTCTCAAGCACATATCAAGGAGCTCATTTTGAGCCTGGATCCAGATTTATTGTTGATTCTGTTCATGGTGGAGAATCCTGCTTCACAGCAGCAGGTTCAAGCACGCATTTAGTGCACCTGGGAAACTGAGGGACCTATTAGTTATCTATTCTGTTTTGTTGATCTATGGTTTATTTTCCATCATATTCAAACCGTCTTCAGTTACTCTCTGCTGACCCCTTGTGCTGGTTTCCTTTCCCCTTGGCTTACTTCTTAGTTCCACTCACACCTGCTCCATATCCAGCTCATTAGCCCATCCTTTGTTCTGTTCCCCTTATATACTCCACCTCTGCAGTCGCTCAGTGCTGGTTCCTTGTTGCTCTTTTTGCTGCTTTCTCATCTGGCTCCCCCCGTGAATTTTTCTATGAAGTTTTCTGTTTTTCTGCTTCCTTGTATTTTTTGTACTTTGGATTTTTGCCTCAGTTGCCTTATTAAACATTTAAGACTCGCTTTTGCCTCCTGATCTCTGCATGTGCATCCTCAAAAACCTCCACCCAACCGTGACAAATTTATTTTAATGTAGACACATGTCAGCCCTGTTTTAGCCAAATATTTGAGTGTGCAGCACCTATAACTATATAAATACATTCATAAATGATCCTTTAAATAGTTCTGTTCATCTAATTGATTCGGACCAATCATAGTTCCCACAGGTTCAAATGTAATGTATCTCCATTTATCAGGGTGTGATGATGATATTCTGTCTTCATAGTTAAATTTTCCTATGCTTTGCTGAGGGTGCACATACTTTTTGTCTTTTCAATTCAATTCACTTTATTTCTATAGCGCCAATTTACAACACATGTCATCTCAAGGCACTTTACAGTTCACCAGATTACACAGTCAAATTGATTATATTTCTATTTATGCAGCACAGATGCATGAATAAAAATCACCTTTGCATTGAAGGCAGCTTTCAGCATCTTTACCTTCACTGTCCCTAAATTAACAATATTCAGAATATAAGGAACCACATTAGAGACCTTTACAATTTTAATCATGCGTTAATAAGTAAGACAAGAACTAAGGTACGGCCAAGTTTTATAGCCGATTTCACAGCATTGACTCACAGGCTCCAGGATTCAGCACCAGACAGCTCCTGAAACACGCACTTTTTGACGGCACACAGATTCTGGAAGGTATCTCTGATTCCAGTCAGAGCTGTAGATCACGCCCTGAAGCCAACAGAACCACATCATCTGCAAATAACAGAGATGCAATCCTAAGGCCACCAAATCAGATCCCCCAACACCTTGGCTGTGCCTAGAAATTCTGTTCATAAAAGTTATAAACAGAATCGGTGACAAAGGGCAACCTTGGTGGAGTCCAACCCTTACTGGAAACAAGTCCGACTCACTGCCAGCAATGCGGACCAGGCTGTGACACCATTCGTACAGAGACCTAACAGCCCTTATTTAAGGGACCGGTACTCCATACTCCTGGAGTACCCCCCAAGGGACACAGTCAAATGTCTTCCTCAGATCCACAAAACAAATGTAGACTGGTTGGGCAAACTCCCATGCACCCTCCAGAATCCTGCTGAGGGTATAGAGCTGATCCAGTGTTCCACGGCCAGGACAAAAACCACACTGCTCCTCCTGAATCCAACTCCTGAATTCAACTGTCCGATGGACCCTCCTTTCCAGAACCCCGGAATCGACCTTACCAGTGAGGCTTAAGAGTGTGAT